TCCACAGGGAGATCCTGAGCCACAAGCTGAGGCTGGGCTTCCCAGCTACTCCTTTCCAGGACTTCCAGAGGGGAGTGACCAGTGCCGTGAGCATCATGCAGAGCAGCCTCCAGCAGGGGAAGTTCGACCCCAAAGGCATCGAGAGCACCGATGAGGCTAAGCAGTCCTTCCTGGTGCGTTGTCCGAGTGGGAACCTGAGTAGCAATGCCTGGATTGGAGGGAAAGGCAGAGGGGCTTCCAGAGAGCCAGTGTGGCCGGGGTGGAGGGCCAAGTAAACTGGACTGTTGAAAGGCGGTTGGAAGTACCAACACAGCATCATTCGTTGGAGAAGAGGGTTCGAAATGTTTGTCTTATTCAAGTACCTGGTAGACAATTAGAGAAAAGGAGGTTGAAATGTTGTTTCGCATCGAAGAGCCCACCTGTTAGGCCTTGCATTAAGAAACAACAAGGGAGCAGGTGGAGGGCAGCACCACAGGCCAAGGCCTGGGCCTGGGGATCAAGTACGTGGAATTCTCTTTGCAGTAGCCTCCCCCAAGGAATTGTGCCTGGCCGGCCTGGAGGAAATGGAAACGCCTCCATCCGTTGGGCCAGTCTCTCTCCTTTCCTGGATGGGGAACAGCCTGGTGCTGGGTTTTAAGAGCCAGCTGGTTCTCGGAGGGTGCGACCCTCTTTTCTGGCAAATGAAACCTTCCTTCACGTTCCCCTGCGTTCCTTCTCAGAGGAGTGATGACCGAAGTGCTGACCCTTTTGGCATGGCTGCTCTGAAAGGTTGGAAAAGCTTCTGACAGCTCTGCTTACTCTGTTTCAGGGGACTTTAAACAATGTGGAGGCCTGCAGCGAGAACATAATGACCCTGAAGAAGACCCTGGAGGTACTTTTGGGCGCTGAGCTCTTGGCTGGAAGCAGCAGGTCTGGGTGTCGCTGGGTGTTTGATTCAAACCCATCTTGGGGCTTAAATACACTAATTCCTAGAATCACTTCATCTCAACTAGAAGTCCGGCTTTGTTTTGGGAGGTCCTGCCTGGCTTATCCCAAAGGTGGGTACCCAAACAAACCAGGATATAAACCATCTGTAAAAACACAAGGATGCTGAGTTTGGAGCAAGGAGTTGCGATGCCTGGCTGGGGGGCCACATCCAGAGGCTTAGATTGTATGGGAAATGGGAGGAAGGGAGAATTGAGCAGCTGGAGAGCCTCCCTGTGGGTGGACTGCCGCCCCACCTTCTCTTGCTGTGTGTCAGATCCCTCAAACTTGAGGTTTTCCTTCTGCAGAGCAATTCCTGTTTGCAGCTGGATTTCTGCTTCCCTGCAGGGCGACTGTTCCGAGCTCCTCGGCCAGGGCTTTGGAGGCGAGCAGGCTCGGCTCAAGTTGGAGAGCTGCCTTTCGGACATGGACGCCGTCTCCAGCAAGTTTCGTGACCTGCTGCAGGTGAGCTTTGGACCCTTGGAGCGTTGCCTGTCCCAAAGCCACCCAGGAGGAAGCGAAGCTGGCCAGTGGGCGGCAGGTGAACTCCTTGGGGCTGCAAGAGCCTCTTCCACTCACCCACATTTTGCTGAGCATGTCTCTGCTTCAGCTCAGACAGATGATCCGGCAGACGGTGCAGGACAATAAAAACAAAGACAAATAGGCTGAAAAATAGTTTTTGTTCCAGAACTGTAACCATATTAAATACCACAGTATAGTGCAACCTTGAAATGCAATATTAGGGGCAGCGCAATGGTGAATAGAATGTGAAGGATGTGTGAATATAAGGTATGTTCTTATTTGTGGTTTTTCCTTGTGTGTAGTGTGCACTGTGGACAGCGCTTAATTTCGTTGTGAGTTACACAGTGATAATATTCTATTCCTCTTCTAATTCCTCTTCTATTCTATTCTGATACCATTCTTGAAATATGAGCGGCTTCTCTACACCTGAAGGCTGGGAACCCCCGGGGTCTGCAGCTTTGCCAGGATCAGCTCCCAGGTGGCTGCCGTGTACAGGGGAGCCAGGGGGCCTAATGAGGGGCTGCTGACTGACCCTTGCTCTCTCTCAGGAAGGCCTGAATGAACTCAATAACTCAGCAGTCAAACCGCAGGTGAAGCCCTGGATTAACCTCTTCCTGTCTGTATCCCACAACATTGAGGAGGTGAGTGCGCTGTCTTATTTGCTTGACTGAATGCAGGAGGCTGGAGAAACACAGTTCTCACCACGTTGAACTCAGTTGGGGCTATATAGGGGTGAAGACGTGGTGGAATCGGAATGCTGCTGGGGGAGAGAGAGCTTGAATAAGACATATTGTGGTCAGAAAGGCTGAGGAAGAACCTCAGGATTGTCCTCCTTGAGACTCTCTGGCGGAAGAGGGAGGGAGGGAAGGGGGCAGGTTAAAAGGTTTCTGGGGCCTCCGTGCAGCAGAGTTCCAATATTGCTTGTGTCGTCTGAAGAGCTGATATGGAGAAGCCTCTCTGAAATTAGCCTGAGGAGGAGGAGGGGGGGGGAAGGAGAACAGAACGGGCCTGGGGGCTCGCTTTTCCTTGGGGTGGGGGGCTTGCCAGTCAAGTGCTGTGCTTCCGGTGGACTCCCTTCCTGCATGCAGGGTTTCTTCCTTCATCATCTCCCCACTGCGTTTCCTGTAGAGCTGAGCATCTCCCCAGAGAACAGCCCTGCCCCCCCCTTTGTTTCATCCTGCTAAGCAGAAGCAGCAGGAACTGGGCCGGGGGCTGGCGAGCCTTTGCCAGGCAGGCCGAGTCTTTGGAAGGTCTCTGGGGGAGGAGCGGTGGCCGGGCATGCGTCGTGGTGGGCCGGCTGAAGCCACCCCGCCAACCCCTCGAGGGAGGCAGAGGAAGGGAATGTTTTGTAGCGAGACCAGCTCTGCTCTCTGCTGCTCTTTCAGGAAGAGTTTAATGACTATGAAGCCAACGACCCCTGGGTGCAGCAGTTCATTCTGAACCTGGAACAGCAGATGGGGGAATTCAAGGTAAGTTCGAGGCACGAGTTGGCGGGGAATTCCTCAAAGGGGAATTGGCCCCTTTGGCACGGGTCATTTCAAGGAGAAGGCAATTGCCCTGCTGTGCAATCCCCTTGCCAATGGAAGGGCCAGGGCACTTGGCAACCTTTTCCCTGGACACACTAGCCTTCTTGCTGGACAAGGGGCTGCATTGTCCCCCCGGCCTGCCTTGGTCTGGTTCTGGCACTGGTGCCATCCTGAACCAAGTCTCCTCCCCCCTCTGCAGGCAGGATTGTCCCCCGTGATCTACGACAGCCTCACCAGCCTAATGACCAGCCTAGTCGCTCTGGAGCTGGAGAAGGTGGTTCTCAAGTCCACCTTCAGTCGGGTAAGATGGGGTGGGGAGTGCCAGCAAAGCCAACCTGCAGACTGATTGCAAGACATGCCAGCATTACAATCTGAGTCACGGTGCACACTCCGAGGGCTTCCTCCCTGCTCTTCGCAGCTTAGCCTGAATGGGGAGGAAGAGGCCCAGCCTGCCCCACTCCTTGGGAAAAGAGGCTGGTCAGGGCTGGGAATCGATCTGGCTTTGGAGAGTCTCTTGTCTGGGTCCTTGTGGGGTGTGCTTGCCGATGGCTCTCTCTCAAAGGGCCCGCGCAAGAGTGCTGTTACGGAGGTGGATGGATGGGCAGCTCAGGGAGGGTGAAGCCAAAAGGCGATGGAGAGCAAGGGGCCTCTCTGGAAGCGGGCCTTTCCCCAGACTTCCCTGCTTGGTGGGATTCAGAGGTTAATCCGTTGCAGGAGGTTCAGCTGGGGCTGGGATGGGCATCTCACGGCCAGCTGCGGGTTCAGCTGTGCTTTGCTGCTTTCTTTCCTCAGCTTGGTGGGCTGCACTTTGACAAAGAACTGAGGTCCCTGATAGCCTACCTGACCACTGTCACCACCTGGACCATCCGTGACAAGTTTGCCCGGCTCTCCCAGATGGCGACCATTCTCAATCTGGAAAGGGTGGGTCCTCCGGCTTTTATTCCCTGGGCCCGGCAGCGGGGTGGGAGGTTGAGCCAAGCCCCGTCCCAGATGGGCCAGAGACAAAACCAAGCCGGGCAGCGGCTCTGCTGCCTTCCGGATGTCAAGCGGACGCTCTCTGGTCCTCTGCCACATGGGCAGACGGTATTTTCCTCTCTTTTTAGGTAACGGAGATCCTGGATTACTGGGGACCCAATTCGGGCCCTCTGACGTGGTGTCTGACGCCAGCAGAGGTCCGCCAAGTGCTGGCCCTCCGGATGGATTTTCGTAGTGAAGACATCAAACGGCTACGCCTGTAGCCATCGGAGAGGAACTTCCTTTTTAAAAAAATTGTTGCCTCTTCCTGCTAGGACTGGCTACTAAACTAGATAGAAGCTCAGCCACTCGCCTTCTTCTTGCTAGTTCAGTGACGATGTTCTGTTGAAAAGCGGAATTAGGAAAACTTTCCTCTCCGGCAACCTCAGCCAGGTTTGGGCCTCTTCTTACCTGCGTTTGTGCAAGATGGTTGCCCAGCACAGCTCTGCAGAAACCCAGCACCCCCGGGCTTGGGAGGGGCTGTCAGTTCGTGGCAGCCTCCCAGAAAAAAGATTCCCTGGACCACGATGGAAGGGCCCCTTCCTCTTGGGGCCTGGCCTGGGCCTTTGCTCTCCTCTGCGGTGGGTCAGGAGTTCAGCCTGAGCTTTGGCCAGAACTGCCTCCTGGAGCCTCTCACGGGTGCCGCTACTCAAGAGGCAGAGGCCAGCAAGGAGATGGACAAGATAGCTGACAGACCCAAAGAAATTTAAAATAAACCTGCTAAGGACATAACCTTTATCTTGTAATTGCAAATGAATAATTGTGTTTGTTCACAACCAATGCTTGCTTTGGGGACCCATTTGTGTGACTGCTTATATTTGCCAGGCCGAACGTTGCATCCCTCGTACAATGGATGCGGTCTTGCTGCTTTCCACTCTTTCCAAAAACTTCATTCCACTGTTTGCTTGATTGGGATCTGCGCCCCAGCCGTGGCTGCCCCTACCCGGCAGCTGCTTCCTGCGCCCCTTTGGTGGTGGTGGAGGAGGAGCAGAGGGGGGAGCCGTTCTTTCACGCCTCTAAAGTGCGTCCCCCCCAAAAAGCTCCACCTTGAATCCTGCTGGGTCCACTTCCACGGTGTGGATGCTGAAATTTCCAAGGACCTGAAAGGGACATGTGGATAAACGAGCTTTGAACTGAGCACCTTGTGTGATTCCTGCCTTCGTAGCTCTCAGGCAGCTGGAGGGAGCAGTCTTCCTTTCCCTCCTTGGGGGAAGGCCTCGACCCCCCCCTACCCAGCCACCCCCATATTTTGGAAGGTTTCTGTGTTGATCTCCCCGTAGCTCCCAAGCCTGCACAGCAGTCCTCCCTTGGAGCAGCTGTCCAACGTGGGGACTGTTTTCACCTACCGCAGCTTCGGCCAGGATCTCCTGCAAGGCCACCTGGTTCCTGGGTTCTTTGGTTACCAGGCAGAGGAAGCCACCACCGCCAGCCCCGGCCAGGCTCTGCCCATAGACATGGGGCTGGAGCATCTCCATGATCTGCCGGACCACCAGAGGCTCGCAGCCAGGGGCCATCGCCTTCTTCTGCAGCCAGTACCGATTCACACACTGGCCCAGCAGAGCCAGGTCACCTGGAAGGAGACGGTGATGGCACCCCCCCCAGCTGCTCTCTGGATCATGGGGGTCCAAGCAGCCCCACAGCACTAAAGTCAGTCTGTGCATCCTGTCTCTGGGACACACCGCAATTGCTCTGCTTGACTGTCCTTCCCCTTCCGGAGAAAGATTGGGGGGGGGGGGTTTTCACCCTTCCCTTGGGGGGAGGGGCAAAAAGGATGTCAACTCCCATGGGAATGGGGTATGCATGGGCGGCTCCCCTGGCTCCCTCCCCCACTCAGCCCGAGGAGCACCTGGATGCTCCCCCATGACCTCTCCAGGAGCGTTTGCCTCCTGAAGGCCCGTCTCAGTCCAGCCTTTGCCTTCCCTCCCTTGAGAAAGTGGGCAGTTTATTCCTACTCCTTGCTTTCAGCTGCTGTTTTTTAACCAATTAAGTTAAAAGGGTCTCTTGTTTCACAATTACTCAATTCACTTAAGAACCCTCAAATCAAAGCCTTTCTGAAATTCCCAACTGTGTCCCAGGGTCTCTTCCATAAGCACACTGACCCTCTCCCACTGCCAAAATGGGGGGGGGGTGTCCTCCAGCCATTTCCTGACTGGTCTGGGCTTTCCTGCTCTCTTCCTGGCACAGCTTCATCTCAAGTGGGGGTACCTTGTTTGAGGGCTTGGGCGCATTCCTCCGCATTGCTCACCAGGGCACTGGTGGTCTCTACCACGGTGGGCAGCCTGGCGTACCAGTTCCTGAGAACATCCTGCAGAGAAAAAAGGCAATGCCTTCCAGCACACGCCTCTTCCTTCACAGTCTTTGTATTGATGGAGGGCTAAGAGGTGCACTCTCTGCCTTGCGGTGTCCACTTTCTTGAGCTTTGGGGCAGCCGTAGCCACAGACCTGCCACCACTTCCCCCACTGGCGATCCATCGGTGCCACGGGAGGTGATGCGGGGAGGGCGGTAGTTGAAGGCAACCAGCTGGCTCTGGATCTTCTCCTATCAACTGAACAGGCAGGGCGGGGCACGGCTCCTTTGCTGGGGTCTTCTTCCCAAAGGGGAACTGTTTAAATGCAGCTGAGCAGGATGGGGGGGGGAACTCAGAGAGGTCAGCAGGGCCCCCCAGTCCGTTTAGAATAGCTGGTGGATGATATCTTGGAGTTCCTTGTAGTGGTTGTGGGCATACAGAGGCACATCGAATTATTGTTTCCATCAAGAGTACAGGAGAAAAAAGACTGGGGTAGCTACAGATCAGTCAATGTGGCCCTGTTCTTTGAAAATCCTGGAGCAAGATACTAAATAGTGAGCTAGAGAAATATGGCTAATTCAGACCTCACTAGTTCCAATGGATTTACTCTGATCCAATTCTATTTGTCTACTGAAGGTCTGCAATTATGGCAGACAGAATTCCAAAGTACGGTAGCACAGTACGGTAGTACTTTTCATAGGAGAAAATCGGTTCCACACTTTTTTTACAATACAAGCTGTGGATTGTTTTGATTGTTTCTTGTAAACTTGAGGCATTTACATGTGAATTCTATAGCCTGTAGCCACCTTTTCATCTAAGCGCGCTGAGGAATCTTGAGACTAAGATCTAGGCGCAAGCATGTGCAAAGAGTGCTAGTCAGAAGATGTGCCTCACATACCTGGAGCATGTTGCGAGCAAGGCGGGTCTTCCCCGTGTACAGCAAGAGAAGGTGCTGGTTCAAGGTGTGGAGGAAGCCTTCTGGGGGGGTGATCTCTTCCACTTCGACCTTCAGGGGCAGCTGGGCCTTCGAGCGCCCAATTTTCAGCCCTGGGACCAGCCCACCCACCTGGTCTTGCCATCCGCCACCTGAAAAGGACAGCACGGGCTCAGTCCCAGGCCAGGAGTCTCCCCTCGCTGCTCCACAGCAACCGTCGGAAATGGGCGAGAGAGGCAGAGCGCAGGTCCTCGATCTCAACTCCTCTTTCAGGTAAGAAGTGAAAGTTCCAATAACATCCTGCGACCAGGCCGGGGGTGGGTGGGGTGTGAGGATGCCAGAGATCAAGGAAGGACTGGTACATTTCATGGCATTTTCTTAGAATCTGAGAGTCAGAAGGGAAGGGGCCTCCAGACACATCTAGTCCAACCCCCAGATTGTCTGAAGACCTCCAGGGAAGGGGAACCCACGGCTAATCCTGCATCCCCATCAGGACATTTTTTCTAATATATAAACTACTTCCCCACCTTTTGGTACCTGGTGTTCTTGGTCCTGCTCTCTGGAGCTGTGGAGAATGAGTCCACTCCTACTCTACGGGATAATGCTTACTTCTCTGAAGAGAGCCACCTCATCTCCCCTCAGACCTCTTCTGCAGGCTAAATATACCAACTTCATTTAACTAGAGTTAGTTTTCACTCCTGTACATCCTGCCTAAACTCACTTCAGGTTGTCAGTGTCCATTTTAGATTCTAGTGCTCAGAACTAGGCAGAATATTCCAAGTGGGACCTGACTGAGTGACAGGGTTAAGATCTGGACTCCCTGCTGCTGTTAATTTATCCAAAAGGAGCCTTTGCCTTTTGTAGCAGCTGCAACACACTGTGGATTTATCCTCCTCTTCTACGGATGCTAGGAAGAGTTGGTCTAGACGACAACAGGAAAAGCTCCTTACCTGTGGTCAAAACCTGCTCCAAGTGCAGCACAGCATGAACGAGGGACTCGACATTAGCGCAGCGCCCAGATACCCGATACAGCGATGCTATTACTGCGCCTGCCAGGATGCTGCTTGTCCCTATGGAAGAACACAAACCGACACAAGCGTGGCCCAAGGAAAAGGAGAACCGCCTTTCGCTCCTCTGAATGGAGGTCCCAAATGGACAAGAAGGAGGGTGCTTGACCATCAATTGGGGGAAGGGAATTCAGAGCCTCCCACTTTGAATTCTCATAAAATCTCAGAGCTGGGGGACCCTGATGGGAAGACTGCAGCACTCGCAGCTGCGGATAGGCAGATCATTTGGGGAAAGCGTTGGGAGGCCTCAACCCCAGAGAAGGTTCCCCAAAAGTAGTTCTCAGAGCCGTCCCCTTCACAAAATGGTGGGCTTGGTGACAAGGGCCAAGTGGGAAAATACTTGCCTAAGAGACTGACATGAAAGGTGGTCACTGGGCTGGTGGAAAAGGGCCACTTGTGAACCGGCTCTTTTCAGAGGGAGGGAGGGAGGGAGGCATGGAAAGAGGCAGCTGCTGTCGTAATGCCCCAGCCCTCATCCCCGCCCCCCGCAGATCATCCTGGCCAGGAACCTGATGGACTTCTGGAAGGACCTGAAGAGCTGGCTTGGCCATCTGGCCTGGAGATCAGAGAGGGGGCACAGCCCACAGCCCTGCTTGCCCCAGTGGTTGCTTCGCGGGAATCTTGATTGTTTTGCACTATTTTCTTTCTCTGCAGGGTTGTTTTCTTTTTTGGGGGGATGTCATTTGGTACTGTTCATGTTTTAATTGTAAATCCTCCAGAGTCACTACTCTGAGATGGGCAGATGGATGGATGGATGGATGGATGGATGGATGGATGGATGGATGGATGGATGGATGGATGGACGGGTGGGTGGGTGGATGGGCAGATGGCTAGATGGGAAGATGGATGGATGAGAGGTCCTTGGTGCTCTGAGCTTGGTTCTTGCAAATGTTTCATTAGCCAAACTAAGTAACAGTGGCCCGTGCTAGTGCCAAACAAGCTCACAGAGCACCAAGGACCCCTCATTTCAACCCTGAGCTACAAATATTCTCTTTTATTGGGAATGAATGGATGATAAAGTGTACTTCTAAAGGGAAGCAATTTCCATGGCTTGCTTGGCCTCTCAACCAACCCACAGCAGGCCGAGGGCCCCCACCTACCCAAGCCTGATCCATGGGGCAGACGAGACCAGGTGTGAAGCTTGAAACCACCTCCGAAACGTTCTTGCAGCTGTTCTCGCAAGGTTTGGGGGGACAGGAGATTAACAATGTGAGTGCAGACCAAGGCTGCTTTGAGCAAGGCTCCTGGAAGAAGAGGCAGAGTTGCAGCAAAGACCAGAGAGGAGGAGCAGGCTAAGCCCCTCAAACCTACCCTGGTCCCTTTGTTTCAGAGCCTGAACTGAGGAGCAGGCATTGGCCAAAGAGTCATCTCGAAGGTCCAGCTTGAAGGCTTTTGACCAGGATGCAATGAAATGGGGGGGGGGAGTCTGAAGGCCTCCTCCACTGGGCACCAGCCACATGACAGTCTTTCAGAAGAGGAAGGACAGAGCAATTCACAGTACATCTCAAAGGCTGATGGGCAGGAGAACAAAGTCAACCAAGCCATAACAATCTCCTTCCCATGTCCTGGGTGGCATTCAGGTTGGCTGAAAATACTCTGCCAGGTGTTCTACAAGCTTCTTGGCTAACTAAGACTGTCATTGGTTCCGGCTAATGGACCCAAACAAACCAGAACTCTTGAGGCTTGACGTTTCCTCAAAGAACATGTTTACTAGATACATAATATCGGCACGGTCAAAAGTGAAACCAATTCTAAATTTCCCCCCAGGAATTCAATGTAACTAGATACAACACTTCCCTCCCCCTACTATGCCATTGATCACGCTACCCAATGAGGGCAATTGGCGGCCTCCGTGACACTTCTTCTCTCCACCTTCCAGCACTTGTGGGAATGACCTTGGTTTCCACTGGATTGCTCTGTATTTAGTCTAGCAATGCTGTAGTTTTATTCCCCCTCTTCCCCCCCCCCCACCTGTGGCAACTGAGAACGAGAAAGATGGCTTCAGCCAGGTTCGTTTCAGAAGTTGACAAAGACACAACTTCTCCAGAAGCCACAGGAGATCATGGCAAGTGGCCCACCCTTTTGGCTCCACATTCTGATTCCTTTCTGACTCCAGGGAGGAACAGCTGGACGGAAGATGCAGGATCTCACCTGGCATATGTGGCTGGCAGTAATCCCTCAGGTCTTCCAGGTCGCGACAGACCAACTCCACCACCGCCTCTCCCTCAAGGCTTCCACTGGTGCTGATCAGTTGCAATTCTGGTTTGGCAATGCGTTGTGCCTGGGCACCGATAGGCCTGCAGCCGTCCACCAGGACAGCCGCGTCCACCACTGCTCCCCCGTGTTCATACGTGATTGGAGGGGTGTCACTCCAGCCCCCTAGAAAACACGGGTTGTGTTACCAAAAGTCATCAAGATAGAACCCATTGACAAAGCTTGAGCTCCTTCCCCTCTTTTACAGCTGGTGGAATTTCTTGGCTCAAGCCCCATCAGGCATGATTTGGCCCATCATCTCCCGCTCAATTCTGAAACCGATCTAGTGCGAGCCAGGAAGAGCTTTGAGGCTAAGAATCGTCAAGAAGGATGACGAAGGCTTGGGTGGAAAGAGAACGGCTCTGCTGCAGACCTCTTGCCGCCCTCGTCCACAGGCAGAGGATGTTGCTATGGCGAGAGAAGGAAACTGAGGAGCCTCTGCTACTACAGAATTATCGGGGAGGTGTTGAAACAAAAATGACACCCCTTTTCATTCCACGTAGAGAGTTTGCACATAGTTGATGGCAGGAGTTTCGAGTTGCCTTTGGCAAGACTAGAAGCAGGAGGCCTGGAGAAGTATTGGCACTGGCGGTAAGCCATGTTCTCCACAGCCAGCAGTGATTGTTGGGCTTTAGGGCTGACACAAAACAGCTATGAGTAAAGCTGGTAACCAAATAGATGGAGACGTTCCTAGGGAAATAAAGGAGATGTTTCCTTCGCTGCATCTACTGCATGTTGCCTAATGGAGAAGAGGACAAAGCACGAGCCTGGATGTAGGGCGGTCCTTGGAGATGGACGGGGCCTGAATCAGGCATCTTCCAACCTCGGTCTGCTCAGGGCTTTTGGCACATGCCAATCCCCCACTATTAGTTAGCCCAACTGCCCCGGGCCCTCGCTCCCTCCAAGCTGCAAACCAGACAGAGTTTAGCCAAGTATTTAGTCCAGGGGACCAGCCTGCTCTTGCCATACCAGAGAGGTCGATCCGTGCAGGGCACTCCACTCTCACCCAGCAGCCCAGGGGAGGCAGCTCCACCTGCCAGAGGTCGATGAACCGGCAGGAGAGCAGGATGGCCCGGCGGATGAGGATCTGCTCGGCCCCCTCGTAGTGTCGGGCAGCACGAACCAGCAGGATGGGTCTGCAAGAGGAGGGGAACCAGGCTGCTGGGGGCCTCTGGAGGGCCCGTCCCCTTTGGAAAGAGGGTTGTGCTGCCCTCAGAGACACCTTCCCGAAAAGCAGAGAAATTTCCTGGAGCACAGCAGCCCCGTTGGACCCCTCCGAGAGCCTCCTGGCTGCAAGGAAGGATGGCAGGGGTGAAGCGCTTCCTCCCCCCATATGCCACACAGCCTCCCTCGAGTGGCTCAGGTGCTTGGCGGCAGCCGGGGGGGGGGGCAGAGCAATAGCCACCGGCTGTCTGCCATTGAGCAAGGGGTCTTTCCAGGAAGCTCTGGGACCAAGAGACAAACAGGGTCTCCCCCGAGCATCCATGTGGGAAGCCGGTCCTCTTGGCAGATATGCTGAGGCTGCCCTGTATCTCACCCCCACCCCCACCTTCCAGTACCTGCTTAGCCATTTCTTCCTCTCCACGGCAAGGGCCTTTATGCCCCGAGCGATGTCTCCCTTCTCCAGTTGCTGGAAGGCAGCGGCCCAAGCACGGTTGGCTGTGGGGCCACTCCGTAGGCCCCCCCCTCCTCTGGCCATGCAGCCCAGGAGATCCGCGATGCACGCCAGTGTCCGAGCAGCGACCCCCAGATCCCCAGCGGTGGCAGCCACTATGGAGGAAGGAGGGCCACGAAGGGCTTCTTCCAGGGGGCTGGGAATTCTCCCTCTCCTGCCCCACTGGCACACACCTGCCAGGAACACCACTCAGGCGCCTGGGCAGAGGGCTGGGCTAAAGCAAACTCTCTCCCCAACCAACAGGGGTGCCCCCCCCATCTCTCAAAGGTGGTCTGGCAAAGGAACATGCTCGGCCGGAGATAGAGGTCGGCAACTGGGGGACTTTGTGGGCACCCCAGACCCGCTTCCTTACCCTGGTCCAGGGTATCCAGCAGAGCCTCCCCAAAGCCATCCAGGACGGCCGAGTGAATCAGGGGCAGGAGGCTGCAATTCCTTTGCTGTGTCAGGACCCGCTGGATTTTGTGCTGGGCCTGTAGGAAAAAGATGGCCTTGCGGGAGGCCAGTTCCGCCTCCTGGTCCAGACAGGCCCTCATCTCCTTCCAGGACATGCGCCAGGCCCTCCTCCAGGACTGCAGCTGCCGGGTCTCTGGAGAGCCCAAGAGCCACAAGAGGGCCCCGAGGTCCAGGGGCTCAGAGACGCAGAGCACAGGGAAGAGACGAGCATTCAGCAGGCAGCGCTTGTCCGGTGGGACATCCGGGCTCCACAGGTCCTGGCTCCTACTCAGGTGAGAACACAGTGGAAGCAGGTGGCAGTGGCAATGCAAATGCTCGGCTACTGTCTCGGAGCAAAGTCCTGAGACATGAGCAGTTTCAGCAGATCCCAGAGGGCCAGCCCAGCAGAGGAATGAGCAGGGCTGCCCTGCTGCGGGGGGGGGGGGCTAGGCTGGCCCCCTGAGAGCAGGGCAGAGGCCAAGGACACCAAGACCCAGGGCCCGTAGTCTGCCAGCCATCACCTCTCTGACCAGGATTAAAACTGCATGTTTGCTAGCAAACCTCCGAGTGAAGAAGAGAGGAAGAAGCAGCAAAACTTGGAGGATTTTATCTCAATCCCCCAAAGCAATAGTACCAGATAAAAATGTATCACGGGAGTCTCCCAGTCACTGCCACAACCACAACAGACTTCCCTTACTGATTAGCTTGAGACCGCAAGGTGGGGTGCAACCCCCCTTTTAGTTTCTCTCTGCAGTCCCCACTGTGCCCCCATCCNTCATCCAGGGGCGAAATAAGCTCGTGCTCGCTGCATGTTGCGTTTAATTTCCGGCCCGCACTGAGTTCTTCAAAGGTTGAAGATAGACCAGATTCGAATCCATCTGGCCTGGCAGAGGCCAGTGCAGCCCCCATTCTGCAGCTGCTCCCAGGACATGTATCCAGACTCTTCCAGCACTGCAGCTGCCAGACCTTGAAGAGTCTCCAAGAACATCACTCCAAGCCCCTCCAAAGCTCTAAACAAATTAACCCCAGGTTCCTCCTGGCACCCATAAGTGCCTGGTATCAAAAAGAACCCGTGATATGGAAACCCATCCTGTGACTACAGCTTCCCTGCCTCAGAGTGACTGGACATCCCACTGCTCATTGTGAGCCCACCTGGATGGATAAAAAAACACGCATCATCCACAGGCAGGACTGAGGAGGTCTTTGGAGCATTGTGGCCTCACCAAGGTGGATTTGATAACATACCGTATTCCAGTCCGGTGATACAAGGCTGCCCAGGGCAAGTTCAAGAAGGTGCCATTCTCTTCGGACGCTGTGCTCTGCGGAGAACAATTTCTGGTCTCAGAAGTAGCAACCCACTAGGGAGATGCGTGATGGTCTCTGCTGGGGGGCTAGTGGGCTTCCTTGTGCAGGTAGCTGCCCGCTGTGAGCACAGGCTGCTCGATTACGAGGGCCAGGGGTCTGATCCAGCTTCTCTGCATACTGCTAAAATTCATGTGTCCCTAACCGTTACCTGGATGAAACCGTGCACCATCAGGCACAGCTTTTTCAACAAAAGTATTCCAAATAGGCTAAGTTAAATAATGCATCCAAAATCCAGGACTCATGACACCCGTGAAACTGAAATTTGGCAAATTTCAGAAAATATTTTATGACATAAAAACTATCATAAAGCATTTTATGATACAGTATAAATTGTCATAAAATATTTCCTATGCTGATGTTTGGCTACGCTATATAAATCAACGGGGGCTACTTTCAAAACAGAAACAGAATCTCTGAAAGTACCCCTGAATTTTGAAGAACTTTTCCAGTACATTAGAAGGTCTGTCATTGTTGAAAGCATTGAGGAATCTGGTAAGGGAATCTCTCTGAAACCATCACCCGTGATTTGGCTTGTTCTTATGGATGGCTCAGGGGGCTGAGAAGGTGGGAACTTGCAGGAAACTCCCAGAAGCCTGGAGAAATTCCTCACGTGGATGAAAATGAGCATCTTGCACATACCTGCCAGTCATCATGACGTCCACTCAGAGTGAATACTTTGCAGCTCGTCTGTCTCAGCCGGATCACGTGTCCCTGAATGACCACATCCTCAAGTACGTGGCTTCTGAGAGCCACGGAGGAGGAGGCCACATCCAGCCCGGTGAGGAGGCAGCCAGAACGGACGTGTAAGGGGCCCTGAAGAAAGACCAAGCAGCCACCCGTCCTGCTCAGAACAGGCCGTGCAAATCCTGGCCAGAACCTGGGCACCTCAGTCCACAGGTGAGGCCTGAGGGCAGCTTTGCCTCAGCAGTACCGCAGCTGCTTGGCATGCAGGCAGTCCCTGGCAGGGCTCGTCCGGGGAAGGTGGTCAAAGCTCCTCTTGAAAGAGGCCGGCACCACCCAGACCCCTCCTTCTTAGGAAGTGAAATGGGAGGCTTGTTGCAGTGCCACAACACCCCGTCTTTCCCCAGACCTGCAAGAGAGCCTTCTCCCAGGGGCTCTCTGGACCAAGCAAGACATCAGCCCAGCATGCTTATGGGCTACAGTGGCAGATTAGCTACATGGAGGCAGCCCTTGCCAGGCTCCCTGCATCTGCTGTACCCAGGGGCAACCTCGGGCCTTTCCTCACCGTCTCGGGCTCTGGCCCTTCCAACTGCCCAATCCTGCCCCACATCTGTGGGTGATCTCTGGCACTAGCCCTCATTCTGCACCAGCCAGAGGTAGTCCAAAAACGCTGTGTCTTTTGGGGCCAAGGGGGAAGAGAGAGAGAGAAAGAAGGCCACGCGCCCACCTCCAGGCTGCAGTGCTGGATGACGCTGCCTGGCCCCACAGCCACGGCTCCCTCCAGCAGGCAGTTGGTGACAGAGCAACCTTCCTCCAGCAGATGCGGCTCCTGCATGGCAGAGAGGGGGAAATGCCAGAAAATCTCTGCCAGACGGGGTTGGGTGGGGGAACTTGCAGAGAGCTCTGGGAGAAGCTGCAAGACTCGATACTCCTTCTGCCCTCCTCCCGCACGAGAATGGGAAGCGTGCAAGCTGCAAAAAGGGACTTGCCTCCTCAACAGGATTTGGGGTGTCAGGACAATTTTTTCATCCCGATTGCTGATGGCATGCAACTCCATCTCCCTATGGACTCCCACCACTCCTGTGTCCTAGCCAAGAGGCCCCATCCACGAGACGACTGGACTGGTACTTACATCCACCTCGGAATGGGCCACCTTGCAGAAACCACTGCTGTGGGCATCACCCAGATGAGGGGTGAGGTGGTAGATGTGGTCACTCGCAGATGAGGTCATGTAGTTATAGGTGCCATCAGGGAGGTAGGCTGGGAAGAGAAGGAAGCCATGAACCTGCTAGCAGCCGTCACCGGCTCAAGGCCCTCAGGGACGCCAGTACTGCCCACCAAGCCAAAGAGACTTTGGGCCTCTCGCCCGCCCATTCTCCCCCAAGCAGGGGTTCCAGATCCTCCCCTCCTCCCATCTCAGCCACACCATCACCACCAGGCATGCAACGGGAGCCTCACCCATTGTGAGTGGCACCGTGCGGAGAGTCTTCCACAGCACAGTCCGGGCACTCCGAACTGTCCCGGAGCTCTGGGCATTCCCTCCTCCCGTCCCTGTTCTGCGTCCAGCTACAAAGGCCTCCTCAGTCACTGCCTGGGCCATGCATAGGAGCAGGTCGAAGAAGAGAGACAGCTGGGGAGGGAAGAGAGTCAGCATACCGGCCTTCACCCAGGGAAAAGCAATTGCCAGGCTCCTCCGGGTTTCCAAGTGGATGCCTGTCCCCATGAACACCCAAACAGAAGGGGGCTCCTTTTGGCCCACCAGGCCCAGGCAGGGCTTCCCCACCTGGAGGGCCGGGGCGCCCGAGTCCAGCCCCATGTAGGTGCAGGCATTGAGTGGGGAGATGACATGGGTGGCCAGAAGCTGCTCTGCTGCTCTGGAGGAGAAGAAAACGACCCCACACACCTGTCAGAGAGAAATGGGGGGGGTCAGCTCTGAATTTGTGGATCTGAGGAGGCTGCTCCCCACCATGCCAGTCCATGGGGCAGATTCAGCCGCCTCCCTACCCACAATCCCAGCCCCGCCAAGCTCCCACTCACTAGGGGGACCTTCCCATCAGGCCCCAGGCACCGCTGGATCTCCTCCTCTGAGCTCTGGTAGAGAATGTCTTGCACCACCCCCTGTGGACGCAAAAGGGGTGAATAGACTTGGCTGGTCCTCCTGCCAGACCGTGTGTGTGTGTGTGTGTGTGTGTGTGTGAGAGAGAGAGAGAGAGAGAGAGAGAGAGGGAGAGAGGGAACTGCAGGCCATGGATCCTCTGATGCTGCTGGCAGCACCGGAGGGGGACAAAGGGGCTGCGTCTCTCAGGCAGTTGCTGCTGGGCCCATTCTTGGGCTGCACACACACCCCACCCCAAAAGGCAGGAAAGAGCTAGGAGGAGGGAAGGTCAGATAGGATCCCAGGAAGAAAGCAGGGGAGAGGGCACACTTCCCTCCAGGACCCTATGCCCTCTCCTCCTTGGGACTAGAGACAGCCCTGCATGAACCTTCAGGACTGCCTCGTCCAGCCAGCAACATCTGGGTGGCCAGAGAGTACAGCTGTTTCCTTTTCCAGGCAGCCTGAGCAAGGGTACCCCGAGCCGTGCCTTCGTGCCCCACAGGAGCCTCTTGGATAGCCTGGACTCCAGACTGCTTGCCGGGAGGGCAGGAAGGCCAGAACCACCCTGGGCCTCCCTGTCAGGGCTGGGATGCTTATCTGGAGGCTGTGATCTCTTAACATCCAGTGGTTACTTAGACTCGGGTTTTGCCGCCAGACAGAGCCTCCAAAACCATGTTTTTGTGATCCCCGAGTTGGCCAAATCCCTAGCAAAGAATTGGGGATTTTTATTACGGCCAAGACAGAGTCCTTCGTTATTTTGGTTTTACTTTATGTTATACTCTTGCTAGCCTCCTTTGGCAAGAGGTGACATTTTAGAGAGAGCGAACATCACGGGGAAAGCCGAGGAGAAGCCTCTGTGTTGGAGACTATGAGGCACAGGAAGAAAGTGGCCCCCGCCCACATAAGCAATCTTCCTGGGGGGCACCTGAGAGTCCACAGAGTAGATGCCATGTTGCCTGGCATAGGAGACGCTGGCAGGCACCGCAACCACTTTCACCCCCTGGAAGCTCTGCCAGTCGATTTCTGCAGGGTGAAACGGATTTCATCAGCCAGCCAGCCAGCCAGCCAGCCCTCCCTCTGAGAGCTGTCAAGCCCCACAGATCTTCTCAGCAGGAATCAGGGGCCCAAGGCCAGCCCTTGAAGGCCAGGAGGCCCAGCACAGAGGCCCTTCCCTCCTCCAGCGGCCCCTCCCACTCTTGCCTCTGTGACGAAGGCACACAACAGGTAAGGCAGGAGTGAGGGGCTCGCTGGCACATTCACCCCCTCCACAGAAGAGGGTTCCGTGGGTTTGAGGGTCACCCCCTGCCCTGCAAGCAGACTCACCCGGCATGGCAGGGACAGTCAGAAACATATCGGTGCTGGAGACCCACACGCCTGGGGGAGAACCCTTGCAGACCTGCAAATACGCAAGAAGGAAGTGAGCACGAGCAACTGGGCAGCTGCCGCTGGAAGCCTTCAGAAGGTGAGGTGGGTCCAGTTGCCCCCCAAAACTGGGGAGGGTGTCTCTCCTTGCCCAGTATCCTGAGACATTCAGGGCTGCTTAATGTGGTTGATGCTTTTGTAGCTATTTACTGATTACCTAGATTAATGTGTCTGCCCGACCGGCATGGAATTCTGCATGGTCAATGAAGTGACCACAATAACCATTAAAATGAGTTAAAAGATCAGGAAACCAAACGGGCCCACTCCATGCTCAGACCCAAAGCCCTTTGGAAGACCAGGACCATCGGCATTCCAGAGAGAGGAACGCCGTTCTGTAGGGGAGGTGCTGCAAGAGAGGAGGCTCACTTCTGGGGCCCTTCTACATTGCCCTGGGCAAGAGAGAGGCGCCTGGGCACGCCTCCCCCCGGACCCCATGGGAGGAGCCCAGTAATGGAAGACAGGTGCTCCTGCCTCCACCCTGACACTTTTATGAAAAAGAACGGGGCTTTGTCAGCAGGCCTGGACCACAAATGGAAACGGAGCCGATCGAGCGGCTGATTCAATTGTCCTGTTTATTTATTTATTTGAAAACTTTATATTGCCACCTACTCTGCAGCAGTGGGACATCTCCCCCCCCTCACTCACCCGCTCTGTCAAGGTGGCCAGAAGCCTGTCCAAATGGCAGGTGAGTGCCTCGGTGGGGGCTGCAGGGTCTTCCAGGGGGAGGCAGAGAAATGCGCGGCTGCAGTCATCAAACAGAAAGTCCCGGCCCTGGCAGGAGGGGAACATGTCATTGGATTCCTCACTGGGAGGGAGCGAGCCTAGGACCCCACAGGCTCGGCCAGCCCCTCAGCCCCACATACAGATAACGGGGGAGGGAGCCCCCTTGGCTGCAAGGACAAAGTTGCTGGGAGCTGCAAGTCTACTCAACAGCCGGTCAACCCTTGAGAAGTAGCATAAGCAGCTGGGCCAGGTGGGGCCAGCTGCCTCTGTGTATGTGGTGGGGGGTCCACGCCAGTCTTGGTCTTAATGGCTACCGTTATGCTATAAGGGTCTCTAACGGACCCTTTGCTCCTTTTCTGGACTGACTGGCTTCCGATTCTCCAATACGTTTGGGGCGGGGCCTCCTATGGCCTGACCAGAGGCCAAGGCAAAATAAGCTGCCTGAGGGATTCCCCCCACCTGGAAGCAACTGCATGCTCCCCCATTCTCCAGTGGGAGCAAGGAACTTCTCTTTTCCCAGACAGGCCAGGCGGAGGTCCCACAAATGCACAATCCAGCAAAGCAGAAACAGATTCTCCGCTCACCATGTGCAAGACAAGAATCCTGGCCTCTTGCAAGACGTCAGCAGTGACCACCTGGAGCAGCAGAGAGGAGAGACCCGGTTGTGCTCTGGAAGGGAGAGACAGGCCCTACCGGGAGACCTGCAACCCTACTGGAACAGAGCGCCAGATGGCTCTGTCTCCAGCCCAGCTCCATACCAAGACCAGGGGACAACGCTCCTGCAGGGGAGTACAGCAACAGACTGAAGAAGGGGCTGCTTAACGCCAGCCACAGCATGGGTACCTCAGCTCAGACTCCCCAGGGCATCTGGCGGGGCCTTTCTGCTCCCACCCTCCGAGCAACGCAGATGCCCACCTGGGCCAGAGGCAGCTCCCACCCCAAACTGAGGTTCCAGGGGTGGTGGGGGTGGGGTTCTCACAAACAGATTCCAAGCCCAGGGTGGAAGAAGTCCAGTCACGGCTGCTGGGCAGAAGGCAGGTTTTGCTGACCTGCTAGGGGCCCAGCGAAGCAGAAAGCAGGAGCTAAGAGGGCAGGCGAGCTGGGGGCGAGGGAGATGTTGGGGTGCTCACCGTATAACCGGCCCGAGCACTCAGGTGTTCTGCCGCAACCAAGAGAGCATTGAGGGTGGCCCCTCCACTGCCCACCTGGGCTTTGGGGTCTTCCACGGTGAGAAGGATGGTCTCTCGGCCCAGGGAGCCTCTGTCTCGGCGGCTCTCCAGCTCTGGAAGGCAAACAAAGGGTCACCCAGTCCAAGCAGAGTCTGGGCAGGACCAGGAAGCTCTAGCCGAGTTGCCACCAGGGCATCTCCCAAAGGCAGGAGCGGTGAAAGGGCTTCCCGGAGCCCTTCCGACCTCCCGCCCCTTTGGCCTGTTCGGGCCCTCCTTCCAGCGGCTCAAGGGAGGCGGCTGCTGCGCCGGGACCTCGGGGAATGTCCTGGGCGCCTTTCCTACCTTTACCCCCCTCCCTCCTCGGCCACCTTCTCCGCCCAAACGGATTTCTTGCCCGGAGGCGCTCCGTCTTCGGGCGAGGCTGCTTTCCCCCGGGGCTTTCCTAAACTGAACTGCGCTGAGCAGCCGGGTGGCTGCTTAAAGGAGAAACCGCGGAGCTCCGCACGGCCGCTCTGCCTTTTTACCAGCCTCCAATGTGGCCGGCCGCTGCTTGCCCCCGACCAGATTCGGGCGAGCCGGGAACCCAGAAGCCCCGGAGGCCTGCCGGACCAGGCGGGTCTTCTTCTCCCCGAAAGCGGCCGGCCCTCCTTCCCTTCCTCGGCGGCGCTCGGGTCTCACCTCTCTGGAAGGCGAAGGCGCTGTCCCGGTGCTGGCAGGTCAAGACCACCACCGACCAGGCCGCAGCCATCCCGCCGGCAGGGCCGCCTAGCCGGGAGCGGCGGCGAGGTTCAGAGGGGCCTGGGAAGCGGCGCCCGGCCAAGTCCAGCGGCCTCGAGCTGGCCCTTTAAGGCGCGGGGCAGGCCGGGAAATGCAGTCCGCCGCCCCGAGGCGGAGTCGCTGGAAAGGGCGGGCTGGAGTCGGTCCCTCTCCCGGGAACCCGCGGAGCGGCCCCCCTCTGCCCCTGGCCTAGCCAGGCGACCGGGGGCGGGGAGAAACTTCCCCGTCCGCCCTCGGGTCGCTCCGAAGGTTAACGCGGCGAGTCGGGTGGAGAGATGGAAACACGCCCGCGCGGCGGCTTCACGTCTTGTTCCCCCGACGCCGCAGGAGGGCTGGCGGGGCAGGACGAGCCGCTGCATACCCAGCCTGGCCCGGCTACATCGGGCGCCGCCGGTGGGGGAACGGAAGCTGCGTCCACGAAGTCCCCCGCCCAGTTCGGCCCAGGGTCGCCCCACACAGCTTGCCCGAGACGGAGCCCGGAGGAGGCACCGCCGGACACCCGGGAGGCCCGCCCATGATGCTGGGCTGAGCATGGTTTAAGGGACACCGTGCTTTGTCTGCAAGGGGTGAACTTGGCCTGCTTGAGGGAGGCCCCCAAAGACAGACTCAGCCTGGTCGCGCCTTCACCCCGGCAGGGTTAGGTTTAGGGGGCGCCGCCGCCCGAGGAGAAAGGCCGCCCGAGGAGGGGCTTCCCCGGCCAGACTCGCGCGCCACGCCAAGCCGCTGTCAGGGCCGCGCTCGGGGGGACCGGCCAAGCGGCTGCCTTGCCAGAGCAGCGGCTGCGGGAGCTGCGCTCTCGGACTCGGAGCCCAACGGGCCGCGCGCCAACTCCGCCCGGATGCACCCGCCGGGCGGGGCTCCAGCCGCCGAGCGCCCGCCGCGGGCTCGCGCTTCCCTCGCTGCGCAGGTTGGACGGGGAGCCCGCGCGGGGCGGGGAGAGCGGAGCCGGGCGGCCAGGCCCCCGTCCCTTCCCTCGGCCGGCATCAGGGCGGCGGAGGCAGAACAGCCCGGCCCCCGCCCGCTGACCCCGATGCAGGAAGCGGAAGACCCCCGCCCGGCGCCCTCGCCTTCATCCGGGCTCGCGCCGCGCCCGGCCCCGGCGGACGGCAGCTCCTCGCCCTCGCCTGTCGGCGGCGGCTCTCCGGTGAGCGGGGGGAGCGGAGCGCGGGCTGCCTTCGCGGGAGAGCTGCCGGGGAGGCGGGGCGCGCCGCGTGCCTTCTCCGATCCCCGCCGAGCGCCCGCAGCCCCGCCCGGCTCGCGCGCCGTAGCTGCAGCCGGCGCAGGAGGGCCGGGGAGGCTTCGGGGGCGCCGCTGCGGGAAGGGGCGCTGCCGCCTCTTGGGGGTTTGGCCGCGGCCGCTGAGGCGGGCCAGCAGGAGCCGAGATCCGCGAAGGCCGTGGCGCGGCCGGGCTGGGCGCGGTCGGGGGGGCTGCTCCGCCGGCCTCCCAGGCGGGGGGCCGGGCGGCGGCGCTTGCGAAGGAGGGAGGCTCCCGCCGGGACCCTCGGCCGCGCCGCGCCGACGGAGCCTCTTTCCCGCAGCCCCGCGCGCCTGGCCCGGCCTCGGAGCCCCCGTGGAAGGGGCGGGCGGCTGGCTCTGCGCCGGCGGCGAGGCGCAGGGAGTTGCTGCGCTTCCCTTTTGTGCCGTGGCTGAAAGGAGCCGAGAGGAGGCGGCGGCGGCTGGCGCCAGATGATGGGGCCGAGTGCTGGCAATAGACTTCCAAGGGGGGAGGGGGCCTAATGGTGACGTGCCGCCCCTCCCCCGCGGGAAGGAAAGGAAGAAAAGGCTGCGGGGAGGGGCAGGGAATACCGAAGATTCCGGAGATGCAGAGGTAGACGGGGCGCCGGCAGAAAGGCCCGTGGGTGCGTTTGGCTGGCTGGTGGAGCGGCGGTGTGTCTTGTTTAGCCTGTGTGTGAAGGCTGGATCTGTTTCGTTGGGAGAATGGTGTAATTGTGACACTGCACAAATGGATAGTTATCATGCATCAAGTATAAGTACAATTTAGCTTGTTAAATGTTGATGGGAAAGGCAGAATTCTGATTCAAAGGGTCCAAGAGGCGACAATGAACATTTGGGCAGGTGTATGCCTGGCAGGGTTTGTGATATACATAAATGTGACTTGGATGCTCGTGAAATATGATACTAAGCAGCTCAAATCAGAAAATTAATTTGTCAAGACTACAGAATTTGTGCTTGATGGGGAAAATATAACACAATTCACTATAAATGGAGAAAAACTAAGAAATAAATTTGTATCCCTCTGTGAAGATGAGAAAATGGACATACAAATTTTAAAATGGGCAAATACTTACTAGGGTAGTTTGTGGTCTTTGGCATGGAATGAATGGTTATTATTTTATTAATTAAATTGGTACAATTTAATAAATATTTTATCTGCGTGCAAAATTGGGAGCATTTCAGGAAACATAGATGCTGGGAGGGGGGCAAGCGAATATGGTTTAAGGAAGGACCCCTTGCAGGGCAGGAGCTGAATGTTGATTAGTTTTAGGTGGATTTTCTTTTCTTTTTTAACCTCTTGACTTTAACTCTCCCTTTGGCTTATTATTCCTTGTTTTCGTATAAAGTTGCTTTTCCTGAATGGAGCAACAGCATGACGGAGACGGTTGCAGGCTGTCTGGGGAATTTAGGGGCTAACATCCCTTGATCTTTGGCGACTGTTTTCAAGCCCAGCTTAGAGTACTGTGTGAATCCAGCCATTGGTGCAGCATGTGCTTGATGGTATATATATCCTCTCTGGGACGGATGCTTGCATTCGCTTTGGGCATGTCCCAGCCCTGGGCTCCGGGAGATTGCAGCGGGGCTCCCAGGCAGGGTCTGGAGGGGGCTTGAAAGGGCCAAACCCCAGCTTGGAGCAGGAGGATACGGGAAGAGGGTTGGTGTGCTGGTTCTCCAGAACTGCAGGCCGCAAATGTGCCTGGGAATGGGCTGCCTTGCTGCCCCTTGGCAGAGTCCCCTCCACGGTCGGTCTGCCTGTCTGTCAGAGTCGGGTGGAGCAAGGCCTTGGCTCTCGGCTTCCGCACAGCTGGCCAGGAAGAAAAGCCCTTTTGTGCCTTTTTTCTGCAGGCAGTTAATTAAACGGATGCTGGCTGAGAGGCTGCAGCCCTATTAATTGGATAAATCAGCCGGTCTGACATGCAGGGAAGTTCTGAAATGCCTCCTCCTTCCTCAGATGCGGTGCTCCCGCAGAAGGCACCCAGGGCAGACCTGCTGGAGGGAAATCAGGAGCCTCAGAGGGATTGTCTTGACTCCCGTGCAGGTTTTCTGCTCACTCTTTCTTCTCAACCCTCAGCTGTGCCCAGCAACCCTCTGCTGCTGCTGCTGCTGGTGTGGAGTCTGTTGCCCAGGCTGGTCCAGATGAGGCGTGTAGCAAGAGGACAGGCTCAGATCTGGGGGGCTTACAGGAGCCTTTTTGCTCTTGGTGGGTTCTGAAAGAGGCCTGGAGCCTCCAGGTGCATCTGCAGACCACCCTGTGGGTTGAGGGGGGCCAGGGCATCCCGTGGCAGGAAGGGGCCTGCCTGTCGTCCAGAGGCAACGCAGGGGGGAGCACCTCCTCTAAAAGGCCAGCCAGCCCAGGGGGGAGTTTTTCCTGGCCATCAAACAATCAGAAGAGGAAAAAATGTTAATGGAGCCCTCAAAGCCGAGAGGGGCTTAGGGTGGGCAGTTTCAGTGACCCAAAGGTCTGCGGCGAGACGAGTTGGGCCAAGCACAAGGCTCCAGCTCAGCGCTTGCCTCAGTGAGACCAGAATCCTGCCAAATGGCGGAGAGGCCCGGGAGAATCCGCCGGCTGGATTTGAGCTTCGTTGAGGGGGAGGAGGAAGCAGTGGGAACCTTGACCCCACCCTTAACCAGAAAGGTAGAAAGGAACCTTTAACCAAGAAAACTGTAAGGGACAGATTTCAGCTACCACTTAGGAGAAGTAACATTCCCAGATCATAGAATCACAGGATTCTCTTATATTTATAACTGTGATAGAATCACAAGATTCTCTTGGCATTAAGGACCACAACTCAGTGTGTGGCCCTCAATGCAACTATAGCTACACGGAGAGAAGCATGCTGTGGGCTACCTCTGTCTTTGGCCCAGCACTCTTCAGCATCTTCATAAACTAAAGGAGTCAGAAGGAGAATTAACGACTGTTACTGACTTAACAACTGCACTGATTCACTTGGCAAATGTGGCAAGAAAACTCATAAAATGGAGCAAAACTCAACAAATCTTTCACTTAGCAACATAAATTCTGGGCTCAGTTGTGGTTGTAAGTTGAGAATTAGCCATACATGCGGACAGCCTCCCTAATGCAGAAGAGAGGATTTGAGATAAGCTTAAATTTTAGGCTTTTCTCTCCTGTTCTTTTGAGGCAATGTGCTGTGGGCCATCCGTTTTCTATCTGGCCTAAGAAGCGCTCCCCATCTCCAGCCTTTACACCGTCCCAGAAAGGGCCAGGTGGGAAGGGCCACCACAGGCCTCACGTTCTGCTGGGAGAGCCCAGGTGCATTTGCAGCCACGGCCCTGACCAAAGGAGCATCCCCCCACCATCCAGTCAGCACTGATGAAGAAGCGAAACAGGTGATGCTTTCCTAGAGGCATCTGACATTTTGAGGAATGATTTAATATTTGGAACAATGTTAATATTTGGAATTTCAAAATATTGCATGCATTTCTCTTGCAGAGACTGATTCCATTAGGTGGGTTTGGCTGGAGACCTGCAAACTGCAGTGCTGGCCGTGATGCGTTCTGATCTGTTTATCCTGAAAATAAGAGGCGCTTCTCCTTGAGGCATTGCAGCAGCGCATCTTCTGTGTAGGGCCAGGGGTGGACTGGCCGCCGCCTCTCGGGTGCTACCAAGGGAAAAAGAGAGGATGCTGGGGGTACCTGAGGCAGGGCCCTTGGGGGGGGAAGGTGCAGTTGGCTGTTGCTGCTCCTCTCGCACCTTTTGGGGCACTGAGCTGCTGTGGTTTGACTTGTTGCCTGTTTCATTGTGTAATCGCGACCTTTCTCCCTCTTGCTCTCTTTCCCCCCCCCCCCAGGTTCAGATTTTGGTTGAGCCCTTGCCAGAAGTATATTGAAAAGTTGCAGGCACAGAGAACAGCACAAGGAAGAGCCATACTGCAGCTCCATGTCTGACAGATGCCACACGAGGGGAGATGCTGCTGCACTGACTGGGCATTACCTGGGCTACCCAGGGGTGGTCGCTGCGGGCCAAGGGTGCTGGGAGAGCCCAGCCCAGCCAGGAGACCTTGCTCCGTGGCAGCGCTGCAGATACACTGCTCTCTCATCAGCCCCGGGAAGCAGAGGGCCTCCTCTGAGGCGAGGCGCACCCATGGGGAGGGGCAGCAGCTCTCGGCATCCTGGCTGGGGGCCTCAAGGAGGCGGCTTCTTAAGCCCGAGAATGTCGGTGTGGCTCTGATAGCAGCTGCTCTCTCTCCCTCTGCACGAGGCCCAGCATCCTGAAGCTAGGAAGAAGAGGCAGAGAGGCCCCCAATTCCCCCTGGGGTCACGGCAGTCTCCAAGAGAAAAAGGTCTTCTCTGGACAGAGACATTTTCAAAACATGAGAACTCAAACGGCAAGGAGGCCCTGTGAGTTTTTCTTCTGCAGTTAAAGGTCGGGTTCCCGAAGGTGGAGGTTCTCGTTTTGTGTGCTTCAGTGCCGGAAGACCATCTCTGGGGCTGCCTGGCTGGTCTGTGGGACTTTCATGGCTCAGAAGGAGTAGTCCAGTGGAGTCCAACTCTTGACCAGCCCTGCTCCCCCCCTCCCCTTTTCCATTGGCTGCAGCTGTGTGGAGGGGGCCTTCTCAGCGTCCGCCATGAAGTTTTCCTTGCGTTTCTGGTTCCTCTCCACGGCGTTCCTGCTTGTCTTCATCATGTCACTGCTCTTCACCTATTCCCACCACAGCATAGCCTACCTGGACCTCGGTGGACTAAACGGGCTCCACCGGGTGAAGCTGGTGCCGAGTTACGCTGGCATGCAGCGCCTGAGCAAGGAGGGGCTCTTGGTGAAGAGCTGTGCCTGCCACCGGTGCACCATGGAGTCCAGCGACACCGCATGGTTCGACAGCCGCTTTGATGGCAACATCTCCCCAGTGTGGACCAAAGAGAACGTGGACTTGCCGTTGGACGTCCAGAGGTGGTGGATGGTGAGTCCTGTTGGCTCTTTGCCCAGACAGAAGCAGCTGCTCAACTCCTGCACACAAACACACACAGCTGCCTCTTTCTAGCGCTGCCTCTTAATACGGATATGCTGCCCAGGTACAGAACTCTGGTGGGCCTCCAGGGGAGGCTCTTCTTCTCTTAGCGGCCTTCTCTGGGGCCTCCATAGGGGCAAAAGAGGGAAAGGATCCATTGGACTTTGGGATGCTGATTGGGTGAAACTTGGCTCTCCTCTTTCTCTGCCAGAAGAGGGCAATCCTGGTCCACCTGTCCTGCTCCTACTTCTATGGGCCCTTAGATGCCCATCTGGTCCTGGGTCTGGTGCCAACCACACTATCCCAGAGGAGAATTTCCTAGGACATCTGGCGTACCCCAGCTTTGGCGAGAGACACTAGAGGGGTGCTGCTTTTCTTGATCCAAGGAAGCAGAAGCTTCTTGAAGTAGTGCAGCCCATATTCATCTAATGTTCATGGGGCTGAGCTGAGAGCGCTTCACAGCAAATCCATGCCTGTTATAGCTAAATTCAGTCAGTCATTGTTAACAGTAATGCAACAAAAACAAATATCACAAAGCAATGTTGGTGATATAACAATGGCTATCTGGCAAACATTAAAACTGAAAAAGGGGCTGAGTCTTTGAAAGATCTTTGAGACTCAGTGTTACCTCAGACAGGGGGCAACATTGCCTCCAGATGCCAGGTATGGGGGGTGGGAGGACGGTCAGTGGATGGAAAAGAGGTCGTCTCGGGCTGCTGCTAGTGAGCTGCCCCCAGAAGCATCTGGTTGGCTGTTGCAAAAAGAAGACACTGGGCCAAGTGGGCCTTGTCCCAATTCAGTGGAGCTATTCAGTTCCTCAAATTACCCTCCAACAAGCAAAGGGAACTTTGATCATCTAAAGAGGATCTCTTACAGAGGAGACTCTGAAGGATTTTGATGAGCATTTAATGGCTGCAGACCATTTCATTGCAACTGAGGTGGAGATGTGCCCCAAAGATGAGTCTCTTCTGTGTGTTTTAGGTTTCCCTGCTTACACTAGGTTTATTCTGCCAAAATAATCAGCAGTGTGATCAGTGCTCATGACTCGAGCTCAGCCCGCCTGTCCTCTCTCTCAGAAGCCCCCCAGACCTTTTCAGCTGCTGCAAATGGTCCCACTTCTTCTACAGATGCTGCAGCCCCAGTTCAAGTCCCACAACCTTCACGAAGTGCTGAGCAAGCTCTTCCAGATTGTTCCCGGAGAGGATCCATACAGGTCCCAGGAATCTCCGTTCTGCCGGCGCTGTGCTGTCGTGGGCAACTCCGGGAACTTGCGCGGCTCCAGCTACGGCCAAGACATCAACGGGCACGACTTTGTCATGAGGTGAGGAGCGAAGTGGGGGAGAGGAGGCGCGGAAAGGAGGAGCTGGGAACTCTGGCAAGGGGCTGCAAGCAAGCAACCTGCGCAAGGGAGATATTTACCACCGCTTTAATTGCACTCTAATCTTAAATGTGAATTTATCTAAAAATATATTGATCCAAACAAAACAGGCACAGAACTGGGTCCTCAGAAAGTTTTCTTAGTGTTTCATGCTAAGCCGAGCAGGATGGTTAAATGTTTGTGGCCTTCAATTAGATGGGGCCAACTCTCTTAGCAGATTTGATTCTCCAGATAGGTCACTGTGTATGATAGCTGTTCCTGTACAGTTCTGACTGCAGGCAGCAGAGTTGTGAACCAAACTGATCAGTACAATTTGTTACATGCATCTGTCTAACAGCCCCTGCAAACTTCAATAGTATGCCACGAATCTAATCCAGAGTTGTGGCATTCACCAGCATGCATTCATACGTGAGATTCAGGAAGGGAACTAGCAGAAAATAAATTATCTGCCTTTTCTGGAAAGGAGGCAAGAAACCAAGCAAGAGCCATAAGTGAAAATCATAAAACAGACTTTTCCTGAAGACCAAAGTTCCTTGATCACACCAACCCCAGCATCCTCCCCTCCTGCCTTGGGCGATGTCCATCTGTTGGAAGAGTAGATGAACCTGCATCTCCTGTGCCTCACATACTTTTGCTTTCTTTCCTAGCTCTTTGGAGCCTTTAGATGTTCTCCTCAACCTCTTTTGGTGGTGTAACTTGTTTCAACATGAAACATTCAGCTTATCATCAGCCAGAGTTCCAAGTAAAGAACTTTGCACTTGTTTCTGTTAAATTTCAGTCAATGACTTTTAACTTATTTTTCCAGCCATCAGGATCAATTTTATTTCTGTTTTCTAAGAAATTAAGTATCTCACCCAATTTTATATTATTTGAAAATGTGACAAGCATTCCTCTTCCAGTTCCTCATCCAAGCCATTAATTATAATGTCGGAGAACCCAGAACTCATCCTTGGGGCTCCCTATTTGCTAACTCTACAATTTAGATAAGCCTTTCAAGAAATTACTTAATTAAAATAAGGTTATTTCAGGGTTAACACTGACCGCCAAAGTGGGACACGTTCCTTTTTTTTTAGGAAATCATGGGGAAAACATACATAGGTAAATGTCTATGGAAATTCTCGTGGTTGTCCCAAAGGTGCTTTTTCAAAAGGCAACTGGTCTGTTTTTTTTTCCCCTTCATCCAAGAAGCCTTTTGGGTTCACTGAAGAAGCTTCTTGGATGAGAGGCGAAACATTTTCAAGAAGAAAAAAAACAAGTAAGTCCAGTTGCCTTTTGAAAAAGCACCTTTGGGACATACGTAGCTAAATTTTATAGCCAAACCTCTCAAAGTATGGGAAGGTGGAAAATTCCAACCTTGATCCCTCTAGCACGATGTATTATATCATTGCTGTGCACTCCATGATCTTGGTGACAAAAAAGAATCTGCTTCCTCTGCTTACTCAGGAGTAGGCAGAAGAAATGGACAGTCTTGTGGGGGAGGCAGATTCCTTCTTCTTCAAGAATCAAGGTGTAAAACATCCTTTTCCTTTCTACAGAATAAATCAGGCACCTACAGTGGGCTTTGAGGCAGATGTTGGGAGCAGGACAACCCACCACTTCATGTACCCCGAGAGTGCCAAGAACTTGCCTGCCAATGTCAGTTTTGTTCTGGTGCCCTTCAAAGCTTTGGACCTGCTATGGATCGCCAGCGCCCTCTCAACAGGCCAGATCCGATTGTACGTATCCCTGAGGGAAGCTGATTTGAGGAGTGGGGAGCTGGTTATTTGGGGGAAGGATCTACCCCTCTCCTTTTCACCCCTTTTCAAAGGGGACCTGATTTACTGTAGCTGCCACGGTGCTGCCTTGGCTGGCAGTTATTCCACCTGAGGTATTTGAGGCCTGTGGCCAAAATGGCGGCAGCTACCCTGTGAGTATACCTCATGCTGCCCTAGTCTCCTCTGCTTGGAATATGTCTTTCCAGGTAGGGCTGCCCGTGAAGATGACTCGGAAGCTACACCTGGCCCACAATGTGCAGTACAGGCAGCTACACTTCCGAACTCCCCTGTATTGTTACCATTCCCTGTGTTGCAGGCTTCCAGGTGCAATTCATGATACTGGCGGTCACCCAGGAAGCCCTGCACAGCAGAGGAGCAGAGTATTAGAGCGGGGTTCTCTATCTCCAGTTACTGTCATCCTGCAAGGTCCGATACCATTGCCATGCTCTGTGTCTCTTTATGAGACCCCAAAGTCATGCCTTCTCTGAGCCCCCCTGAGCAACGTCCACCCCAGGACTCCAATGGCGCCAACCCTGGTGGCCTTTGAGAAGGACCCAAAGGCCCTCCTGGGCACAACTGCCACCCGCTCTTCGAGCAGGAGTCACGAATCCAGGAGAATCCCCAGATTACGCACAGGGTCTGTTTGGGGCAGTGCCAAAGGTGGCAACTCTCCAGGGGCCAAAGAACCCCAAACCCAGAGCCACTCAGTCTTGCCAGGGTTCAGTTTCAACCCGTTGCTCCCCATCCAGCCCCAACAGCCTCCAGGCACTGCGAGAGGCAGGGAGGTCACGGCATCGCTTAACCCACCACGGGCTGAGGTGTACAGCTGGGTATCAACAGCATATTGATGATACCTCAGTCCATGGTGATGGATGTATAGGCCGCCCATCTTATCTCAAGGTAAACTTTTAGAATCCCTCTGAGTAAAATTCTCCTTTACGTACTGTGCCCTGAGGGGTAGGGTGAGGGTTAGGTATCTTGTTGCTGTGCTGGGGCAGAAACAGCTGAGGAGGCATCTGCCATCTTTGCCCATTTCACTTCTGGAGTGGCCCAGATCTTCCAGCCCCCTCCCTACCTGTTACCTCTGGCAGCTGCTCTCCCTCCCCCCCCCCCTGGGCCCTTCCCTCCTGGACAGGAGCAGGAGGAGCGCAGGTGGCTTTCTTTGTTTCACACCACAGGACCCTTGATGCCTTGCTTGTTCTCTCCCATGCATCTTGTAGTACTTACGCACCAGTGAAGCCATTCCTCCGGGTGGACAAAGAGAGGGTAAGTTAGGTACAGGTTATTTACTGATTTCTTTCAACATTTATATATTCGCCATGATGTGCCGTATCCCCAGGGTTACTCAAAATTAAGGGAAGGAAAACACTATATGAGAAAACACACAAAATAATGATAGAGCGCCCCCCCAACCACCCCACCCCGATCTTCCCAATGCCCAAGTGAAGAAAACTTGCCCAAGCTGCCCCTTGATTGGCTCTGCATTCCTTCAGCAGATAGAAGGGGGGACAGATAAGCCACCCAGGCAGATTTTGCCAATTAGCCTTTAATTTGTACTCCTGCGTTCAGCAGAGGATTGGGCTCGATGGCCCCTGGCAATGGTAAGTCATTCATGTTTGCTTTTACTTGTTTTAAAGTACTTGGTGGTTGCAGAAAGCCTGGCCAGGGCCGCGTGCCCTTGGTGCCTTCTTTCCTTCCACGCCCTGGCCCTGTCTGAATGGGTTGGGCCAAAGACTGGAGGCGTTCTGATACTTTTGAGGGTTCGGTGAGGATCAGAGGGCAGAAAAACCTCTTAAGCCTCCATGTTCTGATTTTATGCTGTAAAGCTTCACACGATGGGCCTCTGCCCCACTATTTTGGGGAACTCCACATGACCCCCCAAACCAGGCATGGTCCTTGAGTCTCACCTGTTATATATATATATATATACATCCTGCTTCAATTGCTGGGATTATTTTTACAATTTACAGTATGTGTTGGTTTAGCAATGTTATTTTTATCTTATGTGTAAGCATTTTCTGTAAATGTTTAGTTTTTAGTATTTGGACTACTGGATGCCGCCAAACCTGAAAATGGTCTTAGTTGTGCCCTGTGAATCTCTGCTGGGGCTTCTCCGTGAACTATTGTCCCCCAGAGACCTGAAATTGGGCTCGGTGAGCAAAAAGCCTCATCTTGACTACTCCTTTGGTTTACTGCCTTTAGGTTCAGATCTACAATCCAGCATTCTTCAAATATATCCATGACCGGTGGACAGAGCACCATGGCCGCTATCCCTCCACAGGCATGTTGGTGCTGTTTTTCGCCCTACATGTTTGCGATGAGGTCAGTTTTGATAGGCCAAGTAAGTTGTCCTAGTGGGAGTCACAGCAGCATTCCTGCTGATTAAATGACACATATACTTCTATTTTGAATTTTGAAAACTGAAAGTTTTAGTTCTATTTTCTTCCTCAGATATGGGATGTGCAGAAAGGGGGCTGAGTTGTAGCCTGTTGTTCTCAGAAACGGGAAGCAAAGTAGAAGAGTAGGCTATTCCTTGAACACCCAGCTGATGTCTCGGGCTTTGGGCTGGTCATGTATCAGTGAAGGATCTGGATGAAGGGGCAGAAAAGGTGGGATAATGAACCAGGATGGATCACTAAAGCCACGGGAAAGAAGAGCTAGGATAGTAGCTGGGATAGACATGCTCAAGCAGAGGCCGAGCAGCCATTAGTCAAGGATCTGGCATTTCCCCATATCATCTCTGAGGTCCCTTCTGACTCCATGAAGCTTGAACTCAGAGTTGTCATTCTTGGATACCGTGTGTGTGTGTGTGTGTGTCTTGGCCTGGTGAGTGGGAATCATTTGGATGCCACTGAAAACCTGCTTTGGAAAAAGGCTGAAAGTGGGAGTGTTGGCCAAATAATCAAGAGGAAGACAGAAATAGCACTGACTTTTGGGTGCCAGAGAAGGAACCCCAGCAGTAGAACAGATTATTCCAGATTATTGCTTTATGTTATGACAGACATTTTTTTCTTGTTCTGGGTGGGGTAGAATATTGAGGGAAAGAATATCAGTCTTTTCTTAATCCCATAAATGTTGGGCTCATTTCAGTAGAAAACGTGGGATGGCATCCAGGTTGCCTGGAGTTCCCCCACTGAGCGGGTCTTCTCTCTCTCCCGGCTGGCAGGTGAACGTCTTTGGGTTCGGGGCAGACGGCCACGGCAACTGGCATCACTACTGGGAGAACAACCGCTATGCTGGGGAGTTCCGGAAAACCGGAGTGCACGATGCAGACTTTGAGGCCCACATTGTGGACATCCTGGAGAAGACGAACAAGATCAGCGTTTATCGTGGCAACTGAGGTTTCCAGCTGGCAGTCGGGCTGTCGGTGGCCGGGTGAGGGAGTGGCGGTTCTCCTGTACCTGATGCCCTGTTTGGCAAAGCCCTTCTTTGAAGAAGATGAAGGGGAATGGAGTGGCTGACACCAAAGCCGAGGCGGTTCCAGTGAAGCAGATGCAAGCAGGGAGCAGCTCTTCTTCTTCTTCCTTAGAACAAACCAACGAGATTCAGGAGCCTCTGAAACAGCCGAGCCACGGAGGGAGAACAGCAGCAGCAGCAGTTCAGCCCCCCCCCTCCTCCATTTGTGCTTCTGCCCACGTCTGACTCTAAGATGGAGACCCCCTTTTGTCTCCCAACAAGCACCACAAGGGGCACATCCAGACTCTTTTTTTTAAAGTCTTTTTTCAGTAAATGAGAACAGCTTTCTGCCTTTGCCCCAGGAAGTTATTTTTCTTTTTCTTTTTTGTACAAGGAGGTGCCAGGCTGGATTGTATTTTTGTCCCAGGCACGTAAACTCATGTAGAAACCTTGGAGGGGAAGCCAGGAAGAGCCTGCAGCTTTTCTGGAGATTGTAGGAAAACTGACATGTGGCTCAGGGCATGGAGTGTTTGGAACGAGGGTAGATGCTCTTGTTCCCGGAACACCCAAGAAATCCTGCCGAAGCACTCCGATTCTGCAGGCTGTGACTTGGACTCTTCATTTCTGTCCTGCCTTCCAATACGTCCCTTTCCTACAGGTTCCTGTCAGCCCAGACCTCCCTCCCTCCCTCCCTCCCTCCCTCCGCTGGACATTCGGTTTCAGTCACATGTTCTGTTCATGGCAGGGAGGCGAGGAAGGCCTGTCCTTCAGATCTTTAGGGGGAGAGAGCTCCCCCTCCCGATTGCAGCCTTTCTCCAGGGGAAGAAGGGGCGGTTGACAAATGGATCACATGGAGTCAGAATCCTGATGCCTTCCAGGATTTAATCCACAAGCGATTAACATTTTCTAGGCCACTAAAACTGTCAGAGCTGGCAGTTTTATTCCTGCATTCACCTTGTTAGCCACGGGGAGGGCTTCATGCCATTTATTCCTGTCTCTTCCATTCCTGCCTGCTCTCCTTCACTGAGAGCAAGAGAAGGGGCTCCACGGTGAGCCCGGCTGCCTTCTCTTGCTCTGGGTGCAAGAAACAGGTCACTTCCCCGTTGCTTTGGCCATTAAGATCCTGTAGACAAATGGCAAAAACAAGCTGCCCATAATCTGTTTTCTTCAAAAGGACAATCCCAGCAAACAGTATTAAATCAGTGCTTTCTTTCTTGAAATAATTGAATTCTACGGCATGAAGTAGCTGTGGCAATGGTGGCTTTTTGTTACAAGCATAACTAACAATAGTTCCCCAAGATGTTTTTGGAGCACTAAAAAGTAAGAAATGGCAGCAATCGTGGATCTCTAAGCCCTGGCGGGTCAATAGCTTCTGGCCGACACCAGGGCAGCTTTCTATGGTCATATTAAAGTGGAGGGTGTCCTCCCCAATGGTGCTGGGTCGCCCTTGTGCTTCTGGGACAGCATCAAACTTTATTGCCGCCCCTCCCTGCCCCTACATGCCTCCTGCAGCTGGATTGCAGTCTCACTTTGGTGTGACCTGAGATACTCCTCTGAACTCTCTAGCTTGGTGTCTTGAGCCGCAGATACCTGCAACCAAGGAGATGGTGGGTTCAAGTGTCCGCAGGATCCCTTGACCTTTTTGTCTTCTCTCGACCATTGTTTCTCCCCAAAGAAGATTGGGGAAAGGTCAACTGACTATGGGGCCCACAGATGGTGGCCAGCGTCATCAGAACTGACCTTGAGTAGGCACTTTTGATGGTCTACAAATATCATGTTGCTTTGATTCTACAAACAAGAATTGTGTGACCTTGAGCTCTTTTCCCCTTGATCCTGAGGTACCAGCTGGACACATGGGCATGGTGCTCCCTGGGCTTGGGGGGTTCAGGGCTGGGAGCCGCAGCCTTCTGCCAACTTCTTCCCATATCAGTTGCAATTGCAGTGCCTCCAGCTCACTAGGGTACTGTTTCCAGGAGGCTTCCTTAGTGAACTGTTGATAGCTCTTCACACATCTTTATCCCGGTGTCCCTGGGTGGCACGGCATGGTGTGGCATGGGCTGATGGGAGGCTGGCTAATCCCAGGGGCTTCTGCGGCTGGCAGAATGGCTGCCTGGCTGCAATGAGGCTGCCATTATTTCTTGGACTGGACCCGCATCCGGTGTCCAAGCGAGAGGCAACGCTGATGGTCCAGCCTGGCCTTCTTCCTGTCCCAGAACAGTCCTTGCCAAAGCAGCTGCTGCTTCAGATCCAGAGGTTGGGGGCCCTGGCCGCCCATTTCTTGCTATCAGGCAAACCCAAGGCCTGTTTTCGGACTGTGGCTCATGGGGCAGGGACTGCGGTCATTGCCTGATTCTCACAAACTTTACAAGCTTAAGAGGTCATGCAGCCAAAGGGTTTGTTTTCCTTCCTGCCTTGGAACCTGCCCATGCTTCAAACCAGTGATGCTGCCCCTCGTTTTGTTATTTTTTAACTTCACAGGCTACAGTTTGGAAGAACTGGATTTGCTTTGTGTTCTGCTACACAAAATAAAAGCTGTACTTTTTCCTTCTGGGGACTCCTGGTATTTATGCTGCACGTGTCTTGGATCCTTTTACAGCCCCATGAGATGCTCAAGGGACAGCCAAGGTTTAGTCCAGACTATTCCCATATTCATAGGTAGTCCAAAGACATCTTGCCTTTTGACTCCTCACAGATCAGATTCTGTTTCCAAAGGGCACCTCCAGTTTCATTCTGTTCTAGGTCTGCTTTTCTAGGGTGAATAGTTGATTGACCTGCTACTAAGATTTTCACCATCCCAGTCAGCAGAGCTATGACCCTTCAAATGGCCCAAGATACAGCAGGGCAGAGCGTGCCAGGAATGGCCTTCTATTTCAGATTCTTTTTGAAGTTTGTCATCTAATTTGTGGATCAAGTAGGAGAATGACACCTTTTGCAAGCCTCACTTTCCCTTCTTCCTCCCCTCCGTCCAGGGCAGTTCTTCAAGTCTGATCTCACATCTGTTCTAGCTCAGCATGGCCTCTCCCAAAGACCTCTCTCGTTCCCTTAGAAGGTGGTCCTGCATTTGCTGAGCCTCAGATGGTGAAAATCAGAATTGAAAAATTGTCATTTCAAAGTGCAAGTTGTGCAAAGAGGCAGAAGAAACAGTAGATCATATATTCAGCCTGTGTAAGAAGATTGCACAGATGAAAAGGGAGAAACATAAAAGTTGAGAAAATAGCCAAAACAGGTTAAAATATTGTGGGATTTCTGAATACAGAATACACTTTTAAAGCAATACCTCCCCCTCCCACACCTCTAATGGCAAGTCGAAAAGAAGCAGCACATAGCTGCCAAAATTTAATTCTTGACACTGATAAGGTCTGACTCATAACACACCAGATTTAACTGTGGCTGAAAAGGAGAAAGTGTGGATAATAGATGTGACTAGTAGAATAGGAGAAAAATAATTGGAGATGATCAAAAAGTATCAAGATCTGAAAATTTAAATTATGGCATAAACCGGCCGTGGTGGTCCCAAGAGTTATTTGCACACTGGGCACCCTACCAAAAAGTCTTGAATGGCACTTGGACACTGTGCGCCTTGACAAAAGTTCCAGCTGTCACCTGCAAAAGGCCACATTGTGCTACACCTTATTTGCTTCTTGGGAAGAACCTGATGGGTATGACGTGCCTTCACATTGTTATGAACAATTGTTATAACAATTTAAACTTGTCTCCATGGAATGGTAGCTCCTTGGTAGCTCGCAGGGAGGAGGGTGGCAAACAAATTTAATAAAAAAGCAGCAATGTGCAGGCTTCCCACCCCATGATCTAGGAGCCTTACCTGGAATTTTAGGGGTTCATTATTAGCTTTTTAAAACGTGGTATTAGCACTTTCAACATGGCAGTTCTGGTCTCTTTTTTAACTTTAGAAAAACACGCGGGGGGGGGGTGTTTCCTTCCTGGCCAAGGCCATTTCTTTTGATATGCAGGAACTAAACCGCAGAGAGGGTTTTCTGAAAGTCCCTGAATGCACTTGTACTTTTCAAGAAAGTACAAACCCAGCTGGGAAAGAGGAAGGCAACCCAAACATTTGCCACTTCTGGAATGTTATCTAGAATCCACATTTTCTATTGTTTAATTCGCACACGTGATCAATGACTTTTATGGTTCAATTACTTGCCTTCTGACTGATGAATGCATCAAATCTATCATTTATTTCTGTACCCTATAAAAAAACTCGACCTCCCCCCGAATAAGGGTTTTCTGCTTCCGCGAATCGCGGTCCCCGTTTCCCTGTTTCCCAAGGCCCGCGGCCCCTCCCCCCTCTCTCATTTAGGGGTCCGGCTCGGCTCCCGACTGGGGGCTGGAAGGCCTCGCCCCCCCGCAGAGCCCCCCTCCCCATGGAGGCACCCGGGGAAGTAGCGGGGGGGGCGTTCTTGGGGGGGCGGCGGCAGCTCCGGCACGTGCCCCCCGTTGCTGGGCAACCGTGGCGGCGGTTGAGCAGCTGTGCCCAAGGTGGCGGCGACCCGGCATGGTGAGGGGGGGAGGGGGAGGGGAGAGGGCGGCCGGCCGGCCGGCCGGGGGGCGAGGCGAGCTGATGCGCGGCTCTCCCTCCCGCAGGACCCGGCGGCGGAGAAGGAGGAGGCAGCGGCGGCGGGGGCGCCGTCGGGGCCGGAGGAGCCGCCGGTGCAGCTGAACGTGGGCGGCTGGGCCTTCGCGGTGCCGCGGAGCAAGTTGGCGCCGTTCCCGGAGTCGCTGCTGGGCCGGGCGGCAGCGGCGGGGCCGGCGGGGCAGCGGCTGTTCCTGGACCGCGACGGCTACGCTTTCCGCCACGTCCACTACTTCCTGCACACGGCGCGGCTGTCGGGCGGCAGCGGGCTGGAGCTGCCGCTCCTCTACGAGCAGGCCGGGCTGCTGGGC